AGAATGGCTAAAAGTTCAGCCGTGGTGCTAGAGTGGTAGCCAAGGTATTTAGAGAACCTCTTGATCTAATTACCTTTGTCATCACGCATGATTCCGCCACAGGATGTCGCTCCATTAGAACTGACAGCTCCATCAACATCAAGGTGGATCCAACCTGTGTCCGGAGGTCTCCAACGTGTTTCAAATCTTTTCCCCTCACAAGTAAAAATGTTAACTTTTGATTGGAGCCTTATGTCATTAACAACTTGCTAGGTACTAGAGAAGACAATGTCAATGTCCTGAATAGTATCCTAAAAAAAAATCCTTTTGTAGCGCCTTCCAGATGTTCCAACAGATTTGAGCGAATAGCTTCTGCCAAGGGATCCTTCTTGTATTTAGGTTGCCCGCCTTGACTTTCGCATTCCAAGATATCCAGTCCTGCACAAAAAGGTAAATGATGGTATTAAGTTTTAAAGATTTCACAAGTTTGATCTAAATATTACGAGCTTCAATGCAATCTCTCAAAATGTGAATAGAAGAGCCCGGAGAGTTACAACCAAAGGTGCAGATGCATTGAGAATGGGCATTCCCTTTGATATAATTGGAGTTGACTAGAAGTCTATCCCAAGCAGCTTTCCAGAGGAAGTACTTAATTTTTTCATATGTAGGCTACTTCCAAATCTTAGACCAAATGCTGTCATTAGTTTGATCCTTTTGAGAGACCACGACTTTGTAAGTAGATTTGATAGAGAAATTCCCATTTGAAGAAGGTCTCCAAATGAGTACATCATCATCGCCACTAGGATTAGGTGGTTGGACCAGCGTAATTTGTCTTATCACCTCAGGATGGAGATGATGGTTAAGAAGGTTAAAATTCCATCCTCCTATGGGGTTATAAAGATCAAAAACTCTTGCATAGAGAATGTGCTTAGCACTAGAAAAAGCATACTTAACAAGAGGTTCTGGAAGAGGGGACCACTTACTATACCAAAATAGAATTTGGTCACCCTTACCAACTTTCCAACCAACGTGCGCCATGAATTGATCCCAAACTTTACATATGCTATTCCAAGTAAATGAGGAGGAGCTAGGTTTATAGACCATAGGAATAGTGGGTTTAAGACATTTATATTTATCACAGAGGATCCTGACCCAAAAGTGATTAGGTTGAGTAATGAGACCCCAGCAAAGTTTTATGATAAAAGCAATATTTTGAGCTTTAAGCTTTTTGATGCCGAGACCTCCATAAGATTTCTCCATGGTAACACAATCCCAAGAAAGAAGGTAGGGTTTTTTGTGCCCATCAAAAGAGTCCCAAAGAAAATTTCTAAAGTTTCTCTCAAGTTCAGCAAGGACATTATTGGGTAACAGCATAGTCTGCATAGAGTAGCTAGGAATGGCCGAAAGGACAAAATTAATAAGGACGGCCTTGCCAATGATGTTGAGGAAACGGCTTCTCCAATTAGAAAGGCGAGAGCATGCTTTGTCAAGTAAAGGGGAAAAGGTAAGCTTGGACACCTTTTCGTAGATAAGAGGGATACCAAAGTATTTGCCAAGGTTTCTCGTGAAGGGAATGCCTAATTCAGAACTGATCTGAGTAGCTCTATTAATATTGACATTTCTAGAACAATAGAGCTTCGACTTCTCGATGTTAACTTTTTGACCCAAAGCATCGTAAAAGTCAGAAAGGCATTGGTTGATAATCATAGCTTAGTTAATGGAAGCCTCTGCAAAGAGGAATAAATCATCAGCAAAAAATAAATGAGAAATAGGAGGCCCATTAGTAGTGAGTCTAATTAGCTTCCACTCATTTTTATCAATGGAATTGATAATATAGTGACTAAGACGTTCAATGCAAAGTATAAATAAATAAGGAGAAAGAGGATCTCCCTGTCTAATGCCACAAGAGGGAGTAAATTCATCGGTGGGTTCACCATTCTAAAGAACTTTGATACATGTAGTAGAAATGGTAGCTCTGATTAATTTCCTAAGATGATTGTTCAGCCCGATGGAATGGAGAGTGTCGTCAATGAAATCCCATGAAAGTCTATCAAAGGCTTTTTCAAGATCAACTTTAAGAGCCATGAAACCTTTGTTCCTGGTTTTGTTCCTCATGGAATGAATAATTTCTTGAACAATAATGATATTGTCACTGCTTTGCCGACCATGAATGAAACTATACTGGGAATCTCCAATAAGATTGTTCATATATTGACACAATCAATTGGAGAGGATCTTGGTGACAATTTTGTAGCTAACATTACAAAGAGATATGGGCCGGAAGTCCTTCAAGCAAGTCGGATTTTCAATTTTAGGAATGAGCGTAATGAAAGTATCGTTTAACTCACTGATGGTGTCTAGATTGAGGAAGACCTTTTTAACAAGTTTGAAAATGCTCCTTTAAGGTCATTCCAGTAGGTGTGAATGAAATCAACATTAATACCATCAGGGCCCGAGGCCTTAAAAGCTCCAATATCAAAAGCAGCAGTCTTAATCTCTTCTTCTGTCACCTCCCTATGAATGGATTGAAGTTGAAAGGTAGATAAAGGTAGGAAGCTCTTATTTGTAATGAGTTTGGGTCTTTCATGAGTGTCTTCCTTGAAAAGATTTTCAAAATAAGACGCAGCCATGTTCTTTAGGATATTGTGATCTTGAATCCAAGTGTTGTCATCAGTTTTAAGAGATAAGATCTGGTTTCTTTTCCTTTTAATGATAGATGTAGCATGGAAGTATTTAGTGTTTCGATCTCCCTACTTTAACCACTTGCATCTAGATTTTTGGAACCAAATCAACTTCTCTTGCAAGGTGACCTTGTTAAATTCTTCTCATAAAGATTTTTCAAGTTTGCTGAGAAAGTAATTATCATTGTGAATCCTCCGGCCGTCAATTCCTTCCAATCTACAGAGGATCCCTTTTTTTCCTAGAGGGAATGCTGCCAATATGATTTTTATTCCACAGGGTAGCAGAGTTGGCAAATTTAATTTTCCCTTCATTCCAATCGTTGTTTTGCCATGATTCCTTGATAATGGGGTGAAATGATTCTTCAAGCATCCAAGCTGCAAGACATCTAAAAAGTTTCTAGTGTTGACTAAGATGTTCTCCATTATGCAATTGAATTCTAATAGATCTGTGATCCGAGCCATATTTCAAGAGATGATAGGAATTGCCTTGGTTGAATTTAAGTCTCTATTCCATATTGCAAAAAGCCCAATCCAATCTTTCTTTAACAGTTCCTTTCCCCCAAGTAAATCTATCACCAGTAAAATTTAGATCAAGGAGATTGGAAGAATTGATACATTCTCTAAATTGTTTCATGGATCTCTAATTGTATCCAATGCTGCCACATTTGCCTTCACAAGAGAAGCATGCATTAAAATCACCTACAGTAAGCCAAGGATCAGAGATATTTTGAACAAGGGACTTAATGGAATCCCAAAGAACGGTACGATTATATGGGTTCTGATCACCATAAACACAGGATAAAAGATAGGAGTGATTGTTGGAAATAAAATTAACCCTACAATGAAGAATCTTGACATTTGAATAGAGGTAGTCAATATATATAGTGTCATTATTCCATAAAATCTAGATACCACCAGCATAGTCGGTAGCTTCAACACAGATCCAATTAAAGAAGCCCAATTTTTTAACAATCCTATGAGTTCTAGAACCACTGGCTCTAGTTTCAACTAAAATAAGAATTTGAGTATTATAAGTTTTAGTAATTTCTCTTATGCATTCAGGAAAACTTTTTCCATAGGTACCTCCACAATTCCAACAAATAATATTCATAAATGAAGAAAAGGTGTGAATAAACCTGAAAAACAGATAAGGCTTTCATTAGAGAAATTAGTCCTCATTCTTTAAACCAGAAAAATTGAGACATCGAAAGCTTACCCATCGGAAGAATTTTGTGGCGAGCGGATGAAATTCCGATGTCCTACCCGCGCACGAAACTCGATGACAAAAGGTATGGAATGGGAGGAAAAGTGGGGAACTTTTCGGTGAAGAAATGGGTAAGAAAGGAAGAGGAAGGTGACTTTTCTCTACAATGCAATCGAACGTTATAAATCTAAATTGTTAGACTGAGTTTAATAATTTACATTAAATAACAAACATAGATTACGTCCTCCTATTTAAAATAAATGGAGTTTTTTAAAAAAAATTAGCATATCAATAAATTTACCATTCTCATAAAAATATATATTATTTTTCATCTTTAATCTTAATTACCAATATATTTTATAATAAAAGTGAGATAAATTTATACAAGGATTGAAGTTAATAAATATTAGTAAAAAATGAGAAAAAAAATTCATACCTATTAAATTGTTTATATTTTAAATTAAGATTAACGATAGAAAAATACTTATAATCCTTCCCAATCACAATACAAGTTGATTTCTAGAAGTATTCTTTAACCTAAAATATAAGATATTAAATAAATTTTATTTTATTTTTCATCTATACCCTTGTTTTTTTTATTCATTGTCCTTAAATGATTCATATTTCAAAAATATGCATGTATTACTGAAAAAAACCCTAGGGTATAAATGAAAAGATTGAATATTTTTTAAAAAAATAATGTATCAACTTACATTTTTCATAAACCATAAATTAATTAACAATAATAAATATTACGTTTTGTTCAAAAATGTAAAATATTTTTTAATAAGTTAAATATTTAAAATTATAAATATTTTTAACCTTTCAATATATAATTAGTCTTTTTTTTTAATATCTCTATTAATAATGACTTTATATTTAATTAAAAATACATTATATTTTTTAAGAGAGAAAGTATGATTCAAGAAGAGTATTTTGGAACATTTTTTACCAGGAGGAGTAATTTCTACCATTAAAATTTGATCTAAGCTAAATCCAACCACAGTGGGAGGATGTTTGGATATTATCTAATACGCTTGCAGATACATGGGCTAGAAGGGCTTGCTCCCCACTAAATATTGCAGCATGATTACAAATTTCATATTTGAATTGAATGTTATGACAAGGTCTTTGAATTAAAACTATAATTATATGCCAGTAACAATAGCACCATTTTTTTTTTCTGCAATTTTTCATTTTGAAAATTGAGATACAACAGAACACAAGACATTAGACGAACTACATATTCTCTCTCTCACACACAGACCCAGTCAAAGACTTATTTCAACCTCAGTTCAGAGGTCCATGACCACATACGTCATCTACTTTCTTTCAACCTCACCACAATAGAAATTCTGCAGAAGATCAGATGCCTAAAACTCTACCTCAACTTGGGAATCGACCCGAAACAACAACAGAAAAAGACAGAAAAATCAAGCCGATCCATACAGAAATTTCTTATCCGATCCCTTTTCATCTACTTAATACCTGTAGTGAGGAGGCTTGTATGGTCCTTCAACTGGTACACTAATGTAATCAGCTTGTTCTTTGGTCAACTTGGTCAGCTTAGCTCCAAGCTTGCCAAGGTGAAGAGCGGCAACCTTCTCATCAAGATGCTTAGGCAAAACATAAACCTTCTTCTCATACTTACCAGTTGCTTTTTCCTTCCACAGTTCAAGCTGAGCGATCACCTGGTTGGTGAAGGAGCAAGACATCACAAAACTAGGGTGTCCTGTGGCACAACCCAAGTTCATCAACCGCCCTTCAGCCAACACGATGATACCAGTGTTGGTCTCTGGGAAGACCCATCTATCTGTTTGAGGCTTGATGGTGATACGCTTCACGCCGGGGTAGGTCTCGAGTCCAATCATGTCGATTTCATTGTCAAAGTGGCCAATGTTGCAAACAATGGCATTGTTTTTCATCTTCTTCATGTGACCAACCATGATGATATCCTTGTTACCAGTGGTGGTGACAAAAATGTCAGCATCAGAAACAACGTCTTCAAGAGTCAGCACTGGGAGACCTTCCATGAGAGCTTGAAGAGCACAAATGGGATCAATCTCGGTCACAACCACACGAGCACCAGCCTGCTTCAAGGCAGCAGCACAGCCCTTTCCAACATCACCATAACCGCATACGACAGCGACTTTGCCGGCAATCATCACATCGGTGGCTCTCATCAGTCCATCAGGGAGAGAGTGGCGGCAACCATACAAGTTATCAAACTGTTAAACAGACACAAAGTAAAGCAAAAATTTAATTAATTCCTCCCTTGTGATACTGAGATCTTCAAGACTAAGGAGTGCACTAAATTTTGGTAGAAAGTGACAAACACGAAAGCAGATTTAATTATAACTAGATCCATTTACCATCTTATCATGGACCTAGAAGCAAGTCACAAACAATCAAAGTAAAAATCAACGTGCACATGACAGTAATCCATGAATTCAATGCCCCATATCACAAACTTTAGTTTACATTTGACTCTACATACTCTACTCTACTTACAGGACATGAACATATCAAACAGATCATAGATTCAAAATTCAATTGCTAAATTTATGTTCTGTTTTCCAAAAACCGACCAGGCCTGCCTAAAATTTCAGAGCTTCTAAAAATTAGAACCGAAACCGACACAACGCCTAAAAATTAGAACCACAGCCGACACACAACACGGGTCATCCAATAGATCTAATACCCCGCTAGTAGAAAAATTTTATTCCCATATGTATGAAGGTTCAAACTCAATAGATCTGAAGAATTAAATATAAAAGTCGACTTTGGAGCTGCTGTAAAGTCATCAAGATTTCAAATCTTAAACAGATCTAGTATCGAAGCACATAATACAAGTGTTAGTTATACCTTGCTCTTGGTGACAGAGTCGTTGACATTAATGGCAGGGAACAACAGAGTTCCATTGGCTTGCATCTGGTACAGCCTCTTAACACCAGTGGTAGTCTCTTCAGAGACACCAACGAGTCTCTCCTTCATCTTGTGGTACCTCTTGGGATCAGTCTTCAACCCATCCCTGATAATGGTGAGAACAATCTGGAACTCAGCATTATCAGTAGAAGACGGGTCTGGCAACTGACCGGTCTTCTCATAAACCTCTTCAGCTTTCACACCCTCATGGATCAAGAGGGTAGCATCACCACCGTCGTCAACAATCAGATCGGGACCACCGCCAGGACCCCAATCAAGCGCACGCTCAGTACACCACCAGTACTCCTGAAGAGTCTCTCCCTTCCAAGCAAAAACGGAGGCACTATCACGCGCGATGGCGGCGGCGGCGTGATCCTGAGTAGAGAAGATGTTGCAAGAGCACCAGCGAACTTCGGCTCCGAGAGCAGTTAGGGTTTCGATGAGTACGGCGGTTTGGATGGTCATGTGGAGGGAACCAGTGATTCTGGCGCCTTTGAAGGGCTGGGAAGGGCCAAACTCAGCACGGCAAGCCATGAGACCGGGCATTTCGACCTCAGCGAGCTCGATCTCGAGGCGACCGAAGTCAGCCTGAGAAAGGTCCTTGACCTTGTACTCACGGCCAGCGGTGGTTTTCTCGACGACCAAGGCCATGGCAACGGCGGCGGAGGGAGAAGATGAAGAAATTATTTTTCCCTGTGTAGAAACAGAGAAAGGGGAAGATCAAGAGTGAGAGGCGTAGAGCGAAGATAGTGGGAAGCGAGAGGGGGTATTAATAGGTTTAAAAGCTTTGGTCAAAAAAAAAAAAAAGGTTTAAAACTTGAGATGGACGGCTGAGATTTAACGTGGGGTTGGTGGATTTCTCATTGTGTCGTTTCTTAGATCTGATCTATGCATTTCAGTATGGAGCCTTCGTCAACGGCTCTAGTTAATAAATTTGGTCAAATAATAATAATAAAATCACTCTAAAACCTCTTATATGAAAAATTAAATACAAAAATTTCATAAAATTATAAAATTAATCTAAAATTTACTTTATTTATAGAATTTTTCAGTTATTTTTGGATAATTATTGATTAGATAAAAAAGATAAAATATTTTTTAAGTTGGATGTTAAAAATATAAGGGCTTTTTAATTTTTAATATGTAATTAATAAATTTTTATTTTAAAAATATCTTTAATAAAAAAATCACTTAACTCTTTACCTTTAAGTAAAATATCTTATCAAATGAGGGTATATATGAAAAAAATGATATTACTTTGAAAATAATTTATTGGGGATGTAATAAAATTAAAATATTGTTTTATATTTTTTAATTTTTAATAGAATAAGTATTGATATCTAGTTGTCAACTGAAAAAAATTTACTAATAATAATAATTAATAAATTCAATATAATAAATTAGTAATTTTAATAAAAGACATGAAATTACAGAACGATTTTATGATTTTATGGACTTTTATGTAACTTTTATTGGCTTTAATTTATTGTTTGGATTAATGGTGTTAACTGTTAAGTTGTGATGCCTTGTGCGTTCTGCATAAAACTTCCGAAACGTCGTCTAAAAATTGTAGTTAAATAATACTTTTTTTTTAAATTATAAAATATTTTTAAAAAAATTAATATTTTAAAATATAAGACACTTTGATAAAAATAAAGTTTCATTAATAATTTTTTTAAATATTATTTTTTTTATATATTCTTTTCCTTTAATATTCTTTTATCAATAGAGTATTAAATGAATAACGTTTTTAAATGTTTATATTTTTATTTTAAAAAAAAAAGGTTATATAATATATTTAATGAATTTTATTGATATATAACATTTTATCTAAAAATATTTTATAAATTTAAGATGAGAGGGAGTAATAACAAATTCATTCTCAAAGTAAGTGAAACCTCACCTAAAAAATTTAAATACAAAAAAATATCATAAAATTATAAAACTAATCAGAAATTCGCATTATTTACTAAATTTGCCACGTTATTGTTGGATAATTGTTAAAATACAAAGTTATTCTTAGTTTTTCAATATGTAATTGATAATTTTTTCCCAAAATTATCCTGAAAAATAAATTACTTAACCTTATTAAATAAAGGCATATATGAGAAAATAATATGATTTTACTGATAATTAATTAGCTCATTGAGATGTAATTTAATTTAAAATATCTTATATTTTTATTAAAGAGAATATTGAAATCTACTTGTCAAGTGTCAAATAAACAAATTGGCCAACAATTATTTAGTAATAATTAATAACTTCAATACGACAAATTAATAATCTCAATAAGAGACATGAAATTTCAGAATAATTTTACAATTTGATAGGACTTTTTTGTATTAAATTCTCCGTGGGAGATCTAAAAGTGATTTTCTCTAATAATAATAATAATAAAAAAGTAAAATGAAAAATTAAAACACTAATAAAAAAATAGTAGTAACGGCTCTGGTTAGCTTACCGTTACAGTTAGTGGCCCATGACAACAAATCGGCAAAACCAAACAAAAGATCATGGTGAATGTGTGACCGTCAGACGCTCCGAGGCTTTCTGTGGTTTACACGTCATGTTGTCCCGGAAGGGGGGAGGGGAATGAACTGAAATTTGATTCATTTTATTAATTTTTGAATAATTATACTTTATTGAAATGAAAATTGATTAAAATTGAGGGCAAACAATTGAGTAAAATTATATGGAATAAAGTGTTTAAATATTGTGGACGAAAATGATCACATTAAAAGAAAGGAAAACTAACAAGTAAAAACATCATAAAAAATTAATGCTAAATTAGAATCTTTTTGCAATTAAAGTTTTTAAATTCAATATTCATTCTCCCATATTTCAATTCTAAAAATATTTAAAAAAATATTAATTTGATATCAATCTTTTTTTAAAATTCTTACATGCCATATCCTCCCTTAAAAGAATTGCTCTCTGCTTAGCATTAATTGACAATATTGGAATTTGAAATTAACTATATGTATTAGATATTAAAGGATTTACGTGTGTGCTGTACAACAACAACAAAATTTGAGTATTCAAATGAAAAAAAAAACTTATATACTCTCTCTATTCAAAAATATAAAATATTTTTTGAAGAGTTGAATGTTCAAAAATATAAAACATTTTTAATCTTTTAAAGTGTAATTATTATCCTTTTTTTCAAAAAGTGCCATTATTAATTAATGACTTTATATTTATTGTAGGGTATTTAATAGGGGTGAATATGAAAAGATAGGATTAGTTTGAAAGTAAGTAATTACTTTGCTGGGGTGAAATTCGGTTAAAAATGCCTTACATTTTTTAATTGAGGGAATACTTAACATTATAAATTTAGGGTGTTTATTTTTAATTAAATTAAAATATGTGAATCTTTTATAAATTATTTATTCTATAATAAAACTCTTATTATAAATATTAGTAATACATTAAAATTTACTTATCTTGATTTAATTAGATAAAAGTATATTAAACATGCAAGGCTAAAATACACAAGTCTTAACCAATCAAAATAGATATATTTAAAAAATATAGACAATCACTTACTTCCTTTGTTTAAAAATATAAGGCATTTTTTGAGAAATTGGATGTTAAAAAATGTAAGGCATTTTTAGTTATTCGAGATATAATCATTATCTTTTTTACAAAAGTACCCCCATTAATAATAATTTTATATTTATTGTAGGGTATTTAATAGGGATAAATATGAAAAGATAAAGTTAGTTTGAAAGTAGATAACTACTTTATTGGGGGTGAAATTCACTTAAAAATGCCTTATACTTTTTAACGAAGGGAGTAACTGATAAGGAATTGTATTATGTTATTTAGTGATATTCCTTCCATTCAAAAATGTAAATTTTTGAGGCATAATCATTGACTTTTTTATCAAAAGTTGTTCTATTGCTGAATGATTTTATATTTATTATAGAGTACTGAATAGAAATAAATATAAAAAAATATAATTAATTTAAAAGTAAGTAATTATTTTATTGAGGGATGAAATTTAAAATATTTTTAAATAAAGGCACTATCAAATTTGAACTTTTAAGTATGAAACTTTAATGGATATTAATTTTTAATAATTATACTGAACTGTTAAAAAAGAATTGGTCGAAAGAGGGAAAAAAAAAAAGGGGCAATACTGATTGGATTGGATATGATACGATATACTGAAGTGATTGGTGGACTAATCGACACTTCTGAGGCTAAAGTGTGACAATTCAAAATATCAAATCCTAATCTCATTTTGTGATGGGCGAATTAATTGTTAACACCATTAACAAATGACTGATTGATTTATAGTTTTGTCAAAGACTAATTGATTGTTCTCTACATGCCAATCCGCTGTAATATTCTGAAACTCCATTTAAAAAAATTAATCATTTAATATTTATAATTTTAAATTAATTATAATTTAATTTCTGAATTTTAACTTATTATAATCCAATCTTTAAAGTTATAATTTAATTCCTAAACTTTCTTTCTTATAATTTGATCCTTATAGTTATAACCATTAAAATATTAGTCCCTATATTTTTAAAAATAAAATTATAAAGATTAAAATATGTTAAAATTTATTACTAGTATTTTAAATTACTAAACCCTTTTAACCTTTTATAAATATTATAAATATTAAAATTTTAAATTATTGTTAATGTTGATAATTTATTTTTTAAAGTGTTAATGAGTCAATGGACCCTAAAGTATTATGCGAAAAGCATCTTGAACATTGAACTCTTAAAATGTGTAAAATGAATTCTAAATTTTTAAATTCATAGCAAAGTAAACCTTATCATTAACTTTTTGTTAACACTGTTATTGTTCACTGTGAACACTGTATTTTGTCCGAACATTTTTTAAATTTTATAAAAATAATAATAAATAACTAAAAAATATAAAAATAAAATTTAATCCTTTTTAAGATTATATTTTAACAAAATAAAAAAATTGATTAACTTTTTTAAAATCTCTTTCCAAATTATCCCAATCATTTAAAAATATTAGGAGCTAACTTTTAAGAGTCAACTCTTTTTGAATTTCTTCCTTTAAATTTTGTTACATTCCAAAAAAAAAGTTATATCTACTTAATTCAAAATCAGATTTGTTTTCTAATTTTAAAATTAATAAACATGATTAAAAAAAAGAAGCAAAAGAAAAGAATTATATTTTTTAGAAAAAAATATATAAATAAAACAAATAATAACCTATGGGTTAAACCTTAACCCATTAGTTTTAAGATTCACTCACTCGATCAGAAGGGCACACAGACACGACAGAACAGTAGAACAGAGATGGCCACACACGCAGAAAGAAAGCAGAAGGAGCAAAGCGAAAAGGCGAAAGCAAGAAGGGAAACCAGAGCACACGCACAAGGCATAGAGAGCAGAAGGAAGACTTGGCCACACGAAGAAGAAAAGTGGAAGAAAGCAAAAGCTTCGACTAATTCAGAGGAACCCAAAGACGAAGAGCACACACGACAAAACAAAAATGGGGACTCAGCGGAAGAAAAGGAAAAGGCAAGAGGTAGAGATGGTGATCTGAGACTAAAGTATGTAGCGGTGAGTAATCTCTCTTCTCTTCCTACTCTCTATATAAAGTCTACTCCAACCGGGAAAAAAAGGGGGATCAAAAAAATTCGACGAGAAGAATTGAAAAAAATAGAAGACTTTCTGGAGAAAAGTTGTGGAGATTTCTGGAGATTGACCGAGAGATTGAGAGATTTTGGATTTTCCAAAAGAATCTTGTATTTGGA